AGGGAGGGAGGGAGAGAGGGAGGATGGATGGAAGGAAGGAAGGATGAAAGGAAGGGAGAGAGGAAGGATGAAAGGAAGGATGAAAGGAAGGATGGAAGGAAGGATGGAAAGCAGGGAGGGAGGGAGGCTCCTCTGAACCTCGGCTGGTCCCGGCAGACTCACGTTGGTGACTTTCCTCTTGATGTTCTCCAGGAGATGCTCCTGGCCCCGGAGGAAGTGCGGGTGCTGGAACTCCGTGTCGTCCTTCTCGGGCTTGACCAGCCCGCCCTGCTCGATGTGAACCACCTTCCGGAAACCGTCTGCAAGACAAGAAGAGCCCCAGTGTGAGGGCGGCCAGAGCGGAGGAGGCCGGAGAAGCTGGCCCAGCGGTCACCTGCAGCAGGGCTCTCCCACCTTGGCCCCTTTCCAGGCTTGTGGACTTCGACTCCCAGGACTCCGTGCTGGCCGAGGAATTCTGGGAGCTGAAGTCCACAAGTCGCACAGCTGCCAAGGCTGGAGGAGACCCCTGAGGTAGGGCATCCGTTGCCCCCCCCTCCAAGGCGTGGGGTCCGTCTGCTTCCCAGGACACGCTCAGATTAGCAGCAGCGCTCTCCTTTTGGCAAGCCAACTGCCCCAAATGCCAAGGAGCTGAAAGGAAACGCTTTCCCCCCCCCCGCAGATAAGCCGGGGGGGGGTGAGGTGGGGGGTGGGGGGGGGTCTTTTGGGGAAGCACGGAAAGGGTTGCAGGACTGAACCAGCGCAGCCTCCCAGAAGCATCAGGTGGGCCCAGTTTGAAGCAGGACCTACGGGCGGCCCTTTTGCCTTGGCCGCTTGGTGGTGCTCTTAGTCTGTGGGGCGGCCCCATCATCCTGGCCAGGGTTGTCCAAAGGGAAGATGGACTTTCGTGCTGTTTTTTTCCTTGGAAGTGTTTTGCTTCTCACCCAAGAACCGAAGAAGCTCCTTGCACGAGAACAAAACGTTTTCAAAGGAAAAGCAAACAAGGAAGTCCAGGGGGGCCTTTGGGGGGGAAAAGCTCTTGGTGGCCGGTGCTCTTAGCCGCCGCCTCCCTCTTTGGTCTCCGGCCTCTCCTCCAGAAAGCCCCTCCTCCTTCTAAAAGCTCTCCCCTCCCCCGCTTGAGGGGGATCCTTGAGGGCACCAGCACTGGCTCTCGGCCCTTTCTTCCGCCAAGCCGGCCGGCCAAAGCCAAGGTTCAAGGTCTCCTGGCCCACGGTGTCCCCGTTTACGAACACAAACAGCAGCAGAGACCCTAGTCCTCAAGGCTCAAGTGCCAAGCCTCGCCTGCTTAGGGCAGCTATTTTTATGGATATGGGGCTTCTCTGCCCCCCACTTTCCTTGGGGGGGCCCTGAGGGAGGGGCCAAGACAAAAGCGGCTCCTATTCTCCTCCCATGGGGAACACTGAAGGATGGCAGAGCCCCAATTGTTCTGGGGTCACCTGATTATTATTCCTTCGGTGCTGCAGGCAACCTCGGGCAGGGAGGCCAATGGGTGGGCATCCCAAATTCTCAGGACTGTATTTTTACTGTATTTCTATTCTTAAAATAGAAAAAAAAATAGTAAATGCTACTTTTAGGAACCACAGAACATTTGGGGTCCATTGCCACAAGACGATGCTCGGTCCTGTTGTGGAGAAACTGAGGGTAGGAATTTGAAAAAGCGCACCCCCAAACCGAGGACAGCTGAACGACAGCAATAGCGCTTAGATTTATATACCGCTTCGCGGTGCTTTCCAGCCCCCTCTGAGCAGTTTACAAATATCAGCCTATTGCCCCCAACAATCTGGGTCCTCATTTTACCCGCCTCAAAAGTCAACCTTGAACCTGGTGAGATTCGAACTGCTGGCTGTCGGCAGTTTGCCTGCAATCCTGCATTCTAGCCACTGCGCCCCCAGGGCTCTTTGAGGGACAAGCCCTTTGAACCCTTTATTTCACATTTCGTGCTTCAAGGGAGTTTTGTGAAGAGCAGAAAGTCCAACTTTCTCTTGCCTGATGCACCCCGCACCAGAAGGTGCCACGGCTGTGCACCATGGACTTTGCCTCAGCTGAACTCAAAGGAAAGTCCAAGAAGCTGCCCCCCCACACACCCCCACCCCGCCGGGCAGCACACGCAACCGGAGCAAAGCGCCATCTCCTCTGGGCACGGCCAGAACCCGCCCGCTGGGCTCCACCCCAAGCAGCATCTCGGGGGGGGGGGGTGTCCGTCCCTGGCAGACCTTCCCCGGGCGCTGAGCATACTCACACATGTTCAGCTGTCGCACAAAGCTGGCCATGTTGTTGTGTTTGAAATACTTGGGAAGGACCTCCTTAGCGAACTGGCCTTGGTCGAAAACATGGAAGCTGTTTCCACTCTGCAACGACAGAGAGAGGAGGAGTCCGCCAGCCGGCCGGAGCACAGCCGGCCGAGCCATAAAACAGACACGCGTGTAGGTAGTCCTCCACCTACGACCACAGTTGAGCCCCACACTTCCATTGCTAAATGAGACCGCCGAGTTGTGTCCCATGTTACAGCCTTGCCTTGCCACAGCAGTTCAGTGAAGCGCTGTGGCTGTTAACCTGGTTGTTAAGTGAACCGGGCTTCCCCATTGACTTTGCTGGCCGGAAGGTCACAAAAGGGGATCATGGGATCCCCTGGGACACTGCGACCGTCGTAAGTATGAATCCATTGCCAAGGGTCCGGATTTTGATCACGTGACCGCAGGGATGCGGAGGTGGCCGGCGAGAGTGCAAACGGTCGGAAGCCACTTTCTCAGAATGCCGTGGTGACTCTGAACGGTCACTGAATGGATGCTCGTAAGTCGAGGACTGCCTATGCTGCAGCAGCCCCTTCCGCTCAGACAGAGGCAGCCACGGGCAGGCGGCCGGTCCAGGCAGCCGGGAGCCCCGGGGGAAATATTTGAAAACCTGTCTTTAGTCGGGAGAAGAAGATCTCCCCACGCAGACGCACGCCTGACTTTTCAAACCCTTCCGGAGGAAAATTAGGAGGGACAAGAGATGCCAGAAGCTGGCAGGCTGCAGGGTTAAATGCCAGCGCCACTGTCCTGTCCAGAATGCCGCACGGCCCCCCTGCCCACCGCAGCCTTCCTGGGGAGTGAAAATGGCGGTGGCGGCAGCAGCAGCAGTCCTGGTTAATCCGGGACCCCCCAGGAGACCCCCCACCCGTGTTGACCGCTTTACTCCTTGCACTCCGTCCTCCTAGCTAAGCGCAGGGGCTTGTGCTTCTAGCCTCTGAACAAGCCTGCTTTTGGGGGGGGAGGGGGGGCAAGCGTGGCCCTGCCTTTTGCAGACCCCAGTGGAAATAGGAGCCGCCAAATGGACCGGCTCCTCGGAATTCCTCTCGGGATGGAGGAGAGAGCAAGGACCCCCCCCCAAGTTCCCTCCACCCAGATTCTCCCTGCAAAGAGAGGGTAAAAGAAGCCCCAGCCCTGCAGACCTAAACCCGTTAAGGAAGACCCGTGGTTCAGCCCATGGCCAGTCCGTTGGGTAGCCAGGCTATTCATTACCAGGAGGGAACCCATGAGCAACATTATCCAAGTCTTAAGTACACTGCGTCCCCGACATTCCCTGGTTCTCCTACTCTAATAAATTAAGTTTAAAAAACAGTAAAATTTGTCCAGCAAACCCATGCTGGCTTCGAGTTACTGTCTTGATCCTTTACTAAGTGCTTGCAAACCAACGGCTTCATGATTTTCCCAAGTACCGAGGCACATTTTTCATTCTGCAGTTTCCCAGGTATACCCCCCCCCTCTCTCTCTCTCTCACTCTTTCTTTCCTTTTTTTAAACAAATGACTATTTCCCCATTTTTGGCCCTTCCCCTGTACTGTGAATTCTGTAAGAGACGATCTGTGGCACTAAAATCTCTACCCAGTCCAACAAGTTCCATGAGAGGAACCGACCCATTTCAGCCCTCACTGACTTTGGAGCCGAGCCTGGTCCAGGGACAAAGGTTCCTCCTTCTCTTTGGCCCATCTCCACGAGAGAGAAAGGCAAGCGAGAAGACCAGAGTCAGGGTTCAGGTGCCAATCGCAGGTGGCCGAGTGAATAAAGGAGATGATGGCCCTGAAGTACAGAAGGAAGATCCGCTATCAAGGAACAATCGAGATCCCTAGAAGCTTTCAAGGAGAGAGAGGCTGCCAGAAACGGTGCTTGGGGGGGGGGGGGGGGGATGGACCAGATGACCTACAAGGCCCCTTCCAACTGCTATTCTGCTGAGACAAACAAAACCTGAACCCAGACCGAGAGAGAAATTGGCCAAAACACCTCAGAGAGACCCCTCACGTTGAAGTGATTCAGACAAGCGAGGTCCTATTACTACAGCTATTGTACTGAAAGTAGCTTTTGATCCGTGTGATCTCTCTTTCTTCTTCTTCTTCTTCTGCCGTACCTGATAGGACTGACAGGTGACCAGGAAAAGGCTGCACCTTTTATTTTATTCAGCTGGTTCCTGATGACATATTAACCACTTTTGTTTTAATCTTGGTTTGTTGAACCAGCCATACATTACTGGCTTGACTAATTGGGCTATTATGTAAGGCAATATTTGCAGGCCACAATGAATTACTTCATTCTATATAGATATGATGAAATAAATAATATCCACCTAATTGAAGCTGAAAGAACTCATATACAGGTAGTCGAGTCACAACGGTTCATTTACCGACCGTTCAAAATTACAACGGCACTGAAGAGAGTGACATATGACCATTTCTCACACCGAGGACCATTGTAGCACCCCCCATGGTCACGTGATTTACATTCAGATAGTTGGCAACTGACTCATACTTACGACGGTTGCAGCGTCCAGGGTCATACGATCCTCTTTTGCGATCTCTTTACAAGCAAAATCAACGGGGGAAGCCAGATTCACTCAACGACCATGTGACTAACTTAACAACTGCAGTGATTCACTTAACAACTGTGGCAAGAAAGGTCGTAAAATGGGGCATAACTCACTTAAACCCACGTTTCACTTAGCGACAGAAGTGTTGGGCTCAATTCTGGTCCGAAGTCGAGGACTTCCTGGAGTGGGGAAGCCCGGCCGGTGTCTGGTCTGTGGTTCAAGGGGCTCTTTTGGGGCAGGACTGGCAATCGGACAACATCAGGACCTGAGAGGAGGGCCACCCCCCGCCCCTTCTCTGGGGCCCCTTGCAGAAAGGATGGGGCCCTTCGGCCAGGCCAGGCCAGGGCCGGGCAGTGCATGGCGCAACAGCCTTCTGGCCACCCCCACCCCCACCTCAGCCCGGCTTACAGCAAGGAGCTGCCGGTAGGAGCCGTCACTGGAGCATGGTTTGCTCTGGGAGCCTTTTCATTTAAAGGCATCTCTTTTGTCAAGCAAAACGCCATTATCTCTACGGCTCACAGAGCGGGAACTTTATTGCCAAAATATGAGGGAGGTTGGTGTCTTCAGAAGGAAAAGAAATATTTTCCAATCTGGCAGAAGAACATAAGAGACCATTGTACAGCTGGATTTTCTCTCATGGCAGGAAGAAGATCTGCCATTGAGTCATCTTCCCGTTGAGACAACTGCATACGGTTGGAGAACAAACCCAGCTGGGGAGGGTTGTGCCACCCTTGGCACAGGGCTTCGGTCTGCCGGTTCAGAGAAAGGGGGGCGCATCTCGGACTCCCCAAACTACTCACTGACCCTGGAATCCTGCCGCCCCCTCACTGAGACTTGCCTGGACCAGGCAACCTGCCCTGGAAAGCCTCCTTTGGGGGCAACGGTTGACAGCTCCTGGGTCATCTCCCAATCCCATTCCCTGGCCTTTTCCTACTGACCGCAAGGCCAGAGATTTCTTAGATTTCGCGGAGGGCTCTAACTCACACGTGAATCCTAAGGCTGTTCTTACGCAAGACTGACAAGGCTACCCTAGGCCCAATCACCGGCTTTGCCACACACCTCTTTATTTGTGTATACAGGGTAAAAATAGGTCCATTATATCATCCCCTGTGTGTTTCGGGTTTCTCAGGGGCCAAGGCCTCTACTCTGCTGGATTTCTCCTTTCTGGAGTCAGTAAGGTCTCCTCAGCTCATCAGGCACACCCTCAACCAATCGCCACCTGGCTCCTTAAGGATGCTAGGACGCCATGCACTAGGGTTGGGGGAATTTAAATCCACTTAACGTGGCATTTCCTGACCATGCTTCAAACCTACGCCTTCGTCCTGCAATTGTCACAGAAACGGAAAATATAAAGAGGGTGCCTGCTTTTTGGGGACCTGTTAGTATTTTGCCTCCTTCAGGGAGCAGCTGGCATACAGATTTGATTCCTTTTATTTTTTAACCTATCTGAAGAAAGACAAGTACTCTTTTGCTAGTGTGCTTTGTGAGCCTCAGTCATTCTCAGCTCCCCGACATCGAGTTTCCCCGTCCTCTACAACCCAACCTTGCTCACGGGCAAACCCAATGAAGTTCAGATGAGTCAGAAGTCAGCTGTCCGTATTTAGGATGCATCTGTTGCCAAGTTACAGGACTGAGTCAGGCCATCGGCAGGCCAGGAGTCCACCGAGAAGTTTTCAGCCATCTCTGTCAGGAAGCTCACAAGAATATTGTGGAAGGGTTTCCCTTGGGAAGCTGTGGGTCCTCCACTGGTGGAGGTTTGTAAGAAGAGGTGGGACACAGCTCCACTTGGGCCCACGGCTCCAGGGGCCCCACTTGGCCTGGCACACAGATAAACAAAGAGCAACTTTCCTGGAAAGGCTGCTGCTATCACCTCTTCAGTGCGCCTTTTAGGGAACTTAGCTCAGGCACATTTTTCCACACAAGGCCCCGCAATTGAAGGGAAAATCTACATGGTACTCCATATATAAACGTGTTGTTCTTCCAAGAGCCAGAACGCTACAAAATTACCCAACCTGAGCCTTAAAAAAAAAACGGAGAGGGCACACAAGTAAATCCAGTTGTCAAGCAAATGTGACCTCCCTCCCTCGACTTGGCTTGTCAGAAGCCAGCTGGGAAGGTTACAAACGGGGGACCACGTGACCTTGGGACAGTGCAAGTGTCATGAACCAAATGTTGATCTGCAACGGATGCTGCAACGGTTGTGAAAACCAGTCATAAGTCACCTTTTTCAGGGCTGATGTAATTTCAAGTGGTCACTAAACAAATGGCTGCAAGTTGAGGACCACCTGAATGCACATTGGTCACTAGGAAAGGCACACAGTATTGCTTTTACCTAGCTGTAATGTTTTATTAGGACTGATTATATTTACAATTCTACCGTTGTCTCTCATGAGATGCAATATAACTACAATCCTTGAATTACAATCTGGAACAGACTTTTCTTATCCTCAAGAGACTTTTTCCCAAACTGACTCAAATGGCCTCCAGTCCTATTTTTCCTCAGGAGCTATGAATCCATCCCATCAATCCTGGGCAGTTATTATTCTTCAAAGTTGGATTTTTCTCAAATGTTAATTTAGCGGCACTGATTGCATTTCAAAGTGGCAGCTTCCCATTGAGACATTTTGGCAGAAGCGAAACAACCATCTGTTTAGAGATACTGCACACTTGCAACAATAAAAGTCCTCTGAACACGGGGAACTTACTTAAAAGAGCAATTACTAAATAAATTACTCAGTTTAAGACAATTTTTTTAGGCACATGATATTCTGCTAGTTGGAAGATTGCTACAGATTTCTTCACTTGTTTACTGAAACAGAGATCTGAGGGGAAGCCTCATTCTAGGCTTTTGCCACTAAACAATCGGAACAATCTTTTCTATTTTCTTAGCCTAGAATAGAATAATAGAGGACCTTGGAGGTCTTCTAGTCCAACCCCCTGCTCAAGCAGGAGACCTTATACCATGTCAGATAAATGGTTGTCCAGTCTCTTTTTAAAAAACTCCAGTGATGAAGCACTCACACGTTCAGAAGGCAACCTGTTCCATTGGTTGATTGTTCTCACCGTTGGGAAATTCCTCCTTAGTTCTAGGTTGGTTCTCTCCTTGATTAGTATCCGCCCACTGTTTCTGTCTTGCCTTCTGGTGTTGGGAAATTAGGTCAAGCTCTTGTATTTGTAGGAGCCCCTCAAATATTGGAATATTGGCCCTTTCCTTGTGCTTGTACACTGACATAACCGCTAAGGACAAATCTAGTTAAGGTAAGCATCAAGAGTTCTCCCTTTCTGGAAAAACTGCTCCTTAAGATAAATTGCAACTCCATCCATCTCAGTTTCTTATTTTTCAATAGCATTTCCATCTGGCTTTAATTTCACACTGTTTTCTCTCACCCAAAGTATGTCATAGAAGTACAGATTGCTTGAGCTCCTGTTGAGCTATACTGATGACAGATATTCCGGTGGTCCCTACTCACAGCTTCTTGGAGACGCTGAACAATGGAAATCCCTGGGACATTATAGCTCAGTGACCAATAGTCCCATAACACCTGCACCATGCAACAAGAAGGACCAGAACCTAAACTACAATCTCCAACTATACAGGAGGGCCAAACAGTAAAGTAACTTTACAAACGATGCCAGCAGATATAAGCAGCAGGTACCATTTTGAGAATAAAAACTTTAAAACACCCCTACAGCATTGATATTTTAATTGAGAACTGCCTTGCTATAAAACCTATAGAGGAGAAATGGGAAAAAGACAGATTGCTAATACTGAAGTCTCCTTAGGATAACAAGTATAAAGGGGAAAAAAAAACCCAAATGGCTCTTTTCCTATGCTTGAAAACAGTCTAAAAAGCACTCTTTGGTATGAACGGGAGTAAAGAAAGATACAAAAACACATGTTAAGAAAACTCAAGAGAGGGCAAATTAGTAAAGGGCGAATAACACACACTTTTCACCACCTTAGGCTGTTTCACCAGCAAAGAGCTGGGGCAGAAACAGAGAAACCCTCTTTGCTTTTGATGAACAGCTACATTCTTCATCCTCTAAAGCAGGGGTCTCCAACCTTGGCCGCTTTAAGACTTGTGGACTTCAACTCCCAGAATTCCTGAGCTAACATGACTGGAGGAGGAATTCTGGGAGTTGAAGTCCACAAGTCTTAAAGCGGCCACAGTTGGTGGCCCCAGCTCTAAAGCAGCGCTCTCCAATATCGGCAACGTTAAGACTTGGGGACTACAACTCCCAGAATCCCGCAAGCCAGCATGCTGTAAGCGTTGTAGTCCGCCCAACCCGAAAACCCCCGGAGTTGAGATGCGTCGCTCCAGAGCAGCGGCTTCTCCGGGGCTTCGAGGGAGCCTCACCTGAGGAGCCCCCGAGCATCCCCTCCTGAGGGACCGCAAGGCATTTCTGCTCCTCCCCACTTGCCCGGTCGCCCCTTCTCACAAGGAAGTCGCCTCCTCCTCCTCCCCGAACCTGACAGCCTCGACCGGACAGGAGCCGGGGGGGACCCAGGCTCGGGCTGAGACCCCGCCGCGGCCTGCTTCCCGCGTAGCCCGAGGCCTTCCTCACCGGGCTCCAGCAGATGAGCGCGTCCGTGTCCGGATCCTCCACCAGCGTCCACAGCTTGGTGAGGAAGGCCGGCACGTTGCTGCCCGCTCCGCCGCCTCCGGCCACGGCGCCGGGGGGCTCCATGCTAACGGCGGGCAGCCCAGCCCGGCCCGGGCCCGCTTCCCTGGGCCGGCCAAGCCCCACGACAGGCTCTGCTGCTGCCGCCGGAGCGGGCGGCGCGGAAACGACTAGCGGCCGCGGCTGCTCCGGCCTCGCCAAAGCCCGACGCCGCGCTGCGCACTCGCTCCCTCAAAAGGAACGGGCATGGCCGCCGCCATCTTGCGACGCGCAGGCGCAACGCCGCACGCACGCACGCGCCGTCTAGATGCACTGTTGTGCCTCGCGCCGGGCGAGGGACTGGCTGTGGTAGCACGCATGCGCTCCCACCTGTTGTCGGGCGCAGATGCGCGCAGGCGCAGCCCTTCCACCTGTTCGCACCGTCCACGGGGCTGCCTGCAGGGGGCTCTCCGGGCGCGTTCCGCTTGGCGAGTCTCCGGAAGGACGGGAGGGGTCTTTCCCGGGACGCTGACGGTCGGCTTCTGCCGCTGAGGATGCCGGCAGGACGGCTGCAACTGGCCCGATGAACCCGCGTTGCAGGCGCTTCTTTTGCTTTCGGCTGTGCGAAGAGAGGCAGCGGCAGCGTTCTCGGTGGGGGCGTTCGCGCTGCAAAGGGCAGGAACCCGATCGGAGTTGTGTGGACCGTCCTTGCTCCAAGTTTCCTTCCCCCGTTGCTCGTGCAAGCCGGTAAATAGGTCCTTACGGTTGTTGTTGTGTCCAACTCTGTGTGACCCCCGTGGACCAAAACATGTGAGCCCCCCGCCCTCCACGGTCTCCCAGGGTTTGCCCCAATTCATGTTCATTACGTCGATGACACGATCTAATCCTTTGGCCTTTCCTCTTCCCCAACATCAGGCTCTTCTCCAAGGACCACCTCTTCTCATTTGGTGGCCGAAGAAGTTGAGCTTCAGCTTCTGCCCTTCCAAAGGACACTCGGGGTGGGCTTCCTTCAGGGCTGACCGATGGGATCCCCCTGCAGTCCGGGAGGCTTCTCGGGAGTCTTCTCCAGCACCGCGATTCGAAAGCTTCCATTCTTCCGCACTCAACAGCCCTCGCGCTTCTCCCTTGCGAAGTTGCACGAGCTTTAGCGATAATTTTCGAAGTGATTGCCATACCAATCTCCACTCCTCCGTTGGCTGAGTTCACTATTCCACATTGCACCAATGACTTTAATCATTTAGGCAGCGTGGACTTCAACTCCCAGAATTCTCCAGTCAGGCAGCCCAAATCAAGAACTCTCCGCCTCTGCAGAAGGGGGGAAGCTTTCCTTGTGCCTACTGTTTAAAGAACAGCTCTCCAACTTTGGCAACTTTAAGCTTGGCGGATTTTAACTCCCAGAATTCCCCAGCCAACATGGCTGGCTGGGGAGTTCTGGGAGTTGAAGTCCACATGTCTTAAAGTGGCCAAGTTTGAAGACCCCTGAGATTAGTCTCAAAGACAGCCTTCTCTATTCCCCTCCCCCACCAACACCCGGACACTCTGGGGATCGTCCCGGGAGACCCGCCGGTCGCCAGACTTGGAAGAGCGGCCCAAGGGGCGACCCGCTAACGAGCCAGGGGCTTCACAGTTCCAAGGCGCATGCGCGACGGTAGCCAGCTCGTCAACGAGGAGCGGATAGGGTGGAGCGAAGGCCTACCGACTTAGCGCGCAGGCGCCACCCGGCGAGGGCGGGCAAGGAGCTTCCGGCGCATGCGTCGTGGCTAGTGTCGGCTGAGGGGAGCGCACGCGGTGCCGACGGCAGAGGGCTGCGGGACCGGCAGAGGCGGCTTTGGCCGGGTGAGCGCGGGGAGCCGCGTCTAGCCGACCGGGTGGGGCGTCATCGAGGCGGGGAGGGCCGCAGCCTTGTCTGGCCAGGTTGGCGGGTCTTGAGGGTCTCCGGGCGGCCTCCCCCAAAGGCAGGCGGGAAGCGGGGGGCCTGGCTGAAGCGCGGGACCGTTTTTCCCGTTACCTCAGGGCGTTTGCCTTCTGGAGGGACGGGGGATTCGGGCAACGTGTGGAGCAGCGGTCCCCGCTCTTGGCCGCTGTAAGGCTGGTGGACTTCAACTCCCAGAATTCTCCGGCCAGCATAGCACAGCAGGCTAGAGACCAGCCTAGCACGGCTGGCTGCAGAATTCTGGGAGTTGAAGTCCACCAGCCTTACAGCGGCCAAGTTGGGGGACCCTGGTGTGGAGGGAAGGCAAGTAACAATTTACCTCGGGAGTTCGAGGAGCCGGTGGGAGGCTGTTTTGCCGAAGATGCACTGGCAGAGAAAAGGCGGTTGAGCCTGCTTATAACCGAGTTGGAAGGGACACCTCAGAGGCCTTCTAGTCCGACCCCCTCAGCCAGGAGACCCTACAACAAATGGGGGTCTCCTGCCAGCCCCCTCCCCAAGCTCTTCATCGCTGAGTAGTTTGGAAATAAACAATCACCTGCCAAAACTCCCAAGAGAAAACAGTGGTAACTTTACTCACTGCTTTGCAAAGCGGGTGGACCAGGCACACGCAGGGACAGTGGACACACCCTAAAATTAAATCAGTGCATTTGCTTTATATTCTCTAGTCCCGTTGCGGATTTACCTCCCACCCTTTTTTTTTGAATATTTCCCACATTCCCAACCTCCAGTGATTCCACCGGTTAATTGATCTTGCGGTCAGGAGATTCCCCCCTTGGTTCTAGGTTGCTTCTCTCCTTGATTCTTCCTAGGAACCAGGAGGACCGACAGACTGGCCTTGGGAACTGCACATGGAACATAGCAGCACTGATTTTGATTTTATACATTGAAAAATACGTATTTGGGCTGAAAGGAGAAATTTCCTGACAGAACAATTAATCGGGAATGGGTTGACTCTAGATGTTTTCGGTATCCCCTCACTGGAGGTTTTCAAAAATAGACCAGACAACCATTTGTTATATGGCATAGGGAAGGAGTGTCCAACGTTGAGAAGACTTATGGGCTTCAATTCCCAGAATTCCCCAACCAGCTTAGCTATGGGAATTTTAGGAATTAGAGTCCACAAATCATAAAATTCCCAAGATTGGATATCCCTGGCATAGGGTCTCCTGCCTGAACAGGGGGTTGGACTAGAAGACCTCCAGGGTCCCTTCCAAACCTTATTCTGTAAGTCTGGCACCCAGCAAACCTGTCCTTTGGGGAGATGAATTCTGCACGAGTCAAGTGTGTGGGAGAGGGTTATGCGGGTCTTATTAGCATTGCAGTGCTTTGAATAGTGTGCTTTCCCTCCTACAGCCCATTCTCAGGACCAGGATGTCTGAAGAGCAAGAAGAAGCAGGCGATCTTCTGACAGACAGCGAGGAAAGTGTTTATTCTGGACTGGAAGATTCTGGAAGTGACAGCCTTACAGAAGAAGAGGAAGACCAGGATCATGGAGCTGAGGAGAAGAAGTCAAAAGGGAAGTTGCGCTCCAGAAATACTCAAGTAAGTTGATCATCTCAGAGGCTGGTAAAGATAATGTTGTTTTTCTGTCTGAGAAAATCAGCCAGTAAAATTGGTTGGCACAGCCATGAAGATTTGTGGGTGGAGGAGGACACCAGCTTTGCCTGCTTGCCCTCCAGGATCACTCTGGGATGTTTCTACAGTGTTTCCGCTGTAACCTACAATCCACGAAACGTGTGCCTTGTCATGGTCAAACCATGGTTGATCCAAAGTATTTGGGCAGAATTTCAAGAATGCAATGGCTTGTTTAGGGTTTGGAAAATAATACCTTGCTCATTTCATGCACATTTGTAAGAGAATCCAAAACAACGTTGTTCAGTGTGTTCCTTCTGTGTTTGACAGTCTGTAACCCTTAAAGTGAAGCTTAGGATGAGGTAGAAAATGGCTATTTTAGTGAAAGACGTAATCATGCTTTTGTCTGTTCTCATAGATCGTGTCCTAAGGTTCCTGTTTAATATAGTGCTGCTTCTAATCTAGCCCAGAGTTATGTTACTTCTTTTAGCAGCTATTTCATACTCGTGGCTGGTATGTAGCTTGTTAATGTTGATATTCAAGTCTTTTTCAAACATCTGTTGCAAGATATTTGTAGGTGCAGATTTTTATATGTATGTGGATTTCTTGGGATATTTTTGTTCGAATTGTTAGCTGCCTGGGATGTCCAGGAATAGGTAGCACGTAAGAACATATATGCATACAAAAATACTCTCCGTATTAGAGTGCAGTCACATTAGATCTTCCTGGGTTTTGGCCAGACCTCCTAGTTCAAGTTTAATAAGCAACCCACCAGTCCCTTTATCCAGTTGGTGAATAAAAGCATTGAATAATACTGGTCCCAAGACAGATCCTTGTGGGGATCCCATTAGTTGTTATTATTTAGATGTAGCACACTGAATTCTTTCATTGTGGTTTGCCAGCCAGCTGTGGGCCTGTGCTCCTGTTGTATCATCCTTTTCCCCCCAATTTTTCAAACCTTTATTGTCAGCGCACAACATGTGTACAATGAGATTGGCTGACGCTCCCTTAGTGTACCTCCCCCAACACAATAAAACTCACAGTGAAGACAGAAAATCCCATACCCAATAAATCATATCAACAAACACGTCGTCCTATTGCACCAATGTGAACAGGTTGCGCCGGCCCTGCAGTCTATTGCAGTACATAGTTCTGATGTTATTTCACATTCAGAAGTCTGACAGCTCACAGATAAAAACTGTTCTTCAGCCTGTTCATTCAACTGGCTCTGCTTCTCTATCTCCTGCCCAATGGTAGGAGAGTAAAGAAGTGCTGACCAGGGTGTGAGTCGTCCCTGAGGATTTTCCTCCCTCTTCTAAGGCAGCGAGCCCTAGCGAGGTCATCTAGTGGTGTCAGGGGAAAGCCCAAGGTGTTTTGTGCTGTGCTCACCACCCTCTGTAACATCTTTCTAACCGCAGCTGTCAAGCCTACCATACCGTGGTGCAATAAGTGAGGGATGCTTTTATTGTGGACTGGTAAAAGGAGGTTATCCGTTGTTGTTTCACCTTGTTTTTCCAAGCGACATTTTAGCAGCCTGTCAATGAGAAGGTCACCTGGAATCTTGTCAGAGCCTTTCTTGAAATCAGTGTAGATTATAGCTCCACACAGCTCCTTTCATAACCGTTAGCCTCTGTTGGCCTCTTTATTTTACAAAGCCGCTTTTGGCAATCGTGTTTGTGTTGGAAGTGCTTGCGAATGGCCTCCTTTATTGTCTGCTCTAAAACGTTGACCCATCATGAGAGGATCCTCTTTCCTGCTGGAAGAGCGGAGTCCCGCTGGCTGGCCTCCCACCCCCTGGCATCTTCCAGGGTCTGCAGGATTCTCCCAGGACGCCTGGCGGAGGCCCAAAGAGCTCTTGGCCCTTCAGCCTGCTGGGGCGTCTTTCATCGGGGACTGGCCACATCCGGCTTAGCCAGGGGGTCCCTTCCGCCTCCTTTCTGGCCTGCACCCTCCCCTGCTGAGCTCCTCCCTAGCCTGGGCCACAGAAATCGGCTTCCTCTGGATGCAGGTGGGCCTGGGGGGCTTTGCTTTCCCTTGATTGAGACCACTCACCTGGAGTAACCACCTCCTTTTACTCCTCAACACTCTGATCATCGGTTGGGTGGACCTCAGGCAGGTGAATTCATTCTGGTCCTTCCTTCCTCCTCCCTGATTCTGTTGTCTTCCTCTAAAACTGTGGCAGATGGGTTTTGGTGCCCTGGCTTGGCCGTCGTGCTTGCAGCATAAGTCCTCGGGAGAGAGAAACCTGGAGAAGGAGCTGAGATTTGGTCTTGGGGGTGCAGCTGTCCTGTTTGAGGGCTGATGAGCTGACCTGGCTGGTTGGGGCAAGCCAGAGAGAGGCAGCGTTCCAATTGGTCGAGACTATTGTACGTGAGCGTTGAGGACTCAAGCAGGGAGCCTGTTAGCTTAGCAGATGGTTTGACTTCTGGAGAAACGGAGAGAGAAACGGAGGAGAAACGCTGCCCCATTTGAGCAAGTCTTTCAGAGCGTGCTGATGGAGAGACACATTCCAGCAAGTGTTCGAGAGAGTATTTGTGTGGCCACAATTTCCTGGCCCGAAGGTGGAGAACAGAGTAAAGGGAGCAATGTGAGACTTCCCAGAGGAAGTCTGTGTGAATTCTACTCAGAGCGACTGTGAAAGTAGAGAAACGAGATCACGGGGAGCAGAGGCCGTTTCCTCTCTCACCCTGACAGAACTTTTATTGGAAAGCAAAAATAGAAAAGGAAGGGAAAGCATCGAGGAGTGTGTTTCTGATTTTTTCCAGCTTAAATAAAAGAAAATTAAGTCCCGGATATTAATCCAGTTTCTAAGATAGGGCTTCAGGTCAAAATTGCATCAAAATAGTTCAAAATTATGAGGGAGATGTGCGATTATGCTCCATAACTTTTCTGCAAAATGTGATATAGCAGTGAGAATGGTGCCACACCAATCATTATAAATTCATCTTTTTATTGATACCAACAACTGAACTTTCCATTCATTTATTGGTTTTTCATGTAACGGTTTCATGTTTTTGCATGAAAAACTGACAAGCTCTAACATCAGATTAAAGGACAAGGTTCCATCTTTATCTGGTCTCTAGACTGGGCTATTTGGCTTTTCTCTTGTGAATCCCATTATATCCTGGTGGAATCTCCCCCCCCCCCCATCACTCCCTCCCCCACAGTTCAAAGGGGAGTAGTCTAAATGCGAGTGTAAGAAGTGAATTTTCAGTGACACGTGTGCACCAAGTGCTTTGTAGGACCTAAGCAAACTTTCCACATCTTCTTGAATCGTCCTCTGTCTTGCTGTTCTCAAAGTGAAGAGAAATTTATACACTTCCAGGTGGTGCCGTTTTCATTCTTCTACTATACTCCGTCGAGATAGGGCATCGTGGTCATCAGGCTCCTCCCTCCCTTGTAGGCAAATGTACCCCCACCTACGTATAAATCATTACTGTGAAATATCTTGAAAACTTTATCCAACCAGCACCTTTATCACCTGTTTTCTAATTCATCTAATCAAAATAGGTAAAATTAACACACATTTTATCTTGGAGGTGGATAATCTCCCCAAAATTGTAGGTAAGCTCTGCAGATCAGCCTTCTCTCGGGGCTTCGTTTAATCTGAGGCTTGAGATAACAGGGCTGGCTTGAGGGCTCCTTCCCTCCGTATGCGATTCTCAACGTTGGCCCTCAACGAAGGGGCCGCGCAGGCAGCAGCTTGCTGCCCCCCCCCCCCCATGAGCGGCAGGTGGAGGACCACCAGCACACACCACCTGTGGATGCTCATCCCGCTCCTGCTGACTACCCAAGTGCAGCTGCCGGAAGGTGGGTTTCCCTCCCTCTACGCAGGTTCATTCTGGTGCGATTTATCATTTTCATCCAGGAATTTGCTCTCTCTATAAAAAAAAACTACTTTGCAGTTTGTACCAGCAGAGTCAGTTTGTGCCAAGAACTCTTTCCTGGCCTGATTGGTGCACTCACCATTAAGTGGTCCTAGTGGTGCATCCTGCTCTTGCAATGCCTGCTCCTGTTAACGCTGAGCTCAAATGGCCATTGGTCTCTTGTTCCAGAAGGGAAAGGAAAATAAATCTCTGATATTAGAAACAAACGTTTACTCTGGGGCACCAAAGCTAGTGAAAGACCCAGTCTGAGATGAGCTTTAACTAGGGCAATAGCACTTGCACTTAGACTTACATACCCCTTCACGGCGCTTTCCAGCCCTCTCTCAGCAGTTTACAATCTGGGTCCTCATTTTACCCACCTTGGAAGGACGAAAGGCCGAGTCCACCTTGAGCTGGTCGGGATCCAACTCCTGGCACTGAGCCGAGCTGGCCTGCAATACTGCCCTCTAAGCCCCTGTGTGCAACATAATGAACCTTGAAGGCTAGTGGAGTTCTCAGTGCCCCGGCACACAGGCTTTTTTCTTTGCCTTGGGAGCCACGGGATTGGAAACCCAAATGGAGAAAAGGCGGAACAAATGTGTTCACTGATCTTTCAGGGGCTTTTGTTAGCTTGGTGTAAAATGACAGCAAGGTTGGGGGGGGGGGGGATCAGAAATAGCAGCCAGATTGTGTGCCTCCACCTCACCTGAGTATAAATGTTAGGCACATTTTTCTTACGGCGTATGTTGGTAACCTTTGACTTTGTTCGCTTTAAACAAGAGACAAATCTTTGGAGAAGCCTATCAAAGAACAGCAGGGGAGCTACGTGAGGATCCTTTTTGTGGACTTTCTGCGTTTAACACAATTCTTCCACATAGACTAGTGTCTAAACTTCTGGACCTTGGGCTTTCTAATTCAATCTGCCTTTGGATTATGGATTTCCTGTCTGGCCGCTCACAGAGGGTCAGATTAATCACACCTCTTCAGCCCTTATTCTTCACACTAGTACACCACAAGCAATAGTATTACTGCTAAATTTACAGATGATGCAATAGTGGTGGGACTTATCTCAGAGGGGGGGATGAGTCTGCCTACCGAGATGAG